CTGTATTTAGCCAATTGATCCATCTATTGGACAAGAAAACAGAGGAGAGACAGTGCAAAGATGATCTATTTATATCAATGAGAAGTAGTGAGCATTATTTACCAACGACTCATCATTATCCAAAATTGATTATCGTAACTGGCACAGCAAGCAGTGGAAAGAGCAGTATGATTGAAGCGTATCTCTCCATATGTACTCAACCAACCATTTGTGTAAGCATTGATGTTATCAAACATTTTTACTACTATGAGCATTTTACTCGAGTAGCACCGCAAACATTTCGACCGTTTGCACGACGCTATGGTCTCCAAGCAGTCTATTATGTTAATAATATTGATAATAAACAGAATCCATTTGTTCAAAGTTGGATGAATTCTTTACCAAGACGTAAACGGAATACATTAGTGTCTCTTGCTCTCGAATTGAAAAAGACTTTTCCAATTGGCAGAGGACCCTCATACAATTATGATATAAAGAAAAGAGCTAGGGAACAAATTTCATATGGGCTAACATACGGTTTCAATGTCATCGTTGATGCAACTAATGTTGAAGATTGTCCAATAGAAATTGAAAATTACTTTATAATTACTGTTTTCTGTGATCTCTCCATATTATTACGACACATCGAGGCCAGAAATCAGAGGGCAATAAAACAACATATACCCATCGAGTATCGTCATCCACTCGTTGCATTCGATCAGTATTTTGCTCGATATCCAACGTACGCTACGAAGATTATCATAACATTTCAGCCAAATCTTTTAGAATCAATGCTAGTTGACACTTTTACAAGCACATTAAATGAAATCTATCACGTGGACCCCTACTCCACGTGTCATGCATCAGGCAAAATTGATCCTCAAATCCGAAAACAAGCATTTTTACAAAAAGTTGAAAATTTCACTACACGCAGCGCTGATTCAGCATACATTACCACAAAGCTATGCACTAGCCATCAATGTAACTCATTCACATTGTTTGCAAATAAGTTGTCCATATCTGAGTTGGCGTTGTCTCTCAAATTTATTGTCGAGGAAAAGATTAAGTCGGCTATTATCCTCTCTGCTGGTGAAGGTACTCGAATGAATACTAAGCATGTACATAAATCATTATTGAAAATAGGTGGTATTTCACTTATTGAACATCATATTATCAAATTGCGACGCATAGGCATCACCACTGTGGTAATCAATGTCTATCATATGAAAGAGCAAATAATGAAATGTTTGGGCAATGGTGAAAAGTATGGAGTCCAAATCAGAGATGTGCGGGGCATTGATTTTCCATGCCCCGCGGGGCCCGCCCCGTAAAATTCACAAACCCGTCCCGTCCGAACCCCGTGGATATTCGTTTTGAGAATCCCCGCCCCGCCTGTGCCCCGGCAAATCTATATCCGCTCCGCCCGTACCCCGCACAGACAGCTTCTTGAACCGGCCCGCCCGACCCGCCATTTTTGTGACGGGCCCCGACCCGTCCCCGTGTAACCCGAAGAAATTTTTTATTTACCAAATACTTTATTTTTAATGATGCATTCCTTTTATGAATAATCATTTTTTACAAAAGCAAAACTCAAGTCTATATGAGATGGTTTTGAATGATTCACTTTGTGATTGTCGACAAGCACGTATTTTTCTGGTTGTTCTTTTAAAAACATTTTTATATTTGACGAATTACATTTAATATTACTCGATGAGCAATGACTGAAAGATGAAGAAATAATTGTAGATGAACGATCAGTATTCGACGAAGCTGTCCTATCAAGTGATTCATCAGGAGATAAATCATGTAATTCGATGATACTTAGGTCTGACCAAAAGTTCTGGCAACATTATATAAAAATATAAAGATAAGTAGGCATCTTTAATTTTATTTTATCAAATATTGAGGACAGTTGCCATGATTATTTATACCAAGTTCGATCCTTTGCAACAATTTGTTAAAAGTTTTCGAAAAACTTTTTAGATATCGCATGGGCTTATCATGTTTCATTTATTTAATCAGTTAAACTACATTTAATAGAATTTGTTAGCGAAAAGTTACATAGTATCAGGCCTGGCGAATATGATAGATATGATATCATATTGATGCCTTCTTCTGTCATGCAATTAATAACATTAGATGAGTATGAAGTCAACGATGACCGTCAATCAATTTTGTACATTTTGAACCTGATGTCTCTGTTTGTTTCCATATTTCATTAATGAAATGTTTTGGAGAGTTTTCAGTATAATACTTGTGACTTACAGTCTTGCCTTTATCTACATTCAGGAGTATTTGATTTAAAGAATATACCAAACAAAGCATTTTCTAACATCTTTATTCATGAACAATAGTCTTTGACGATTCATCTTCAATAAGCCAGCCAGCATCGGATAACTTATGACTAACCTATCTAAAATAAATCTATATCTCATCACTAGTAGTACTAGAATGCAACTGATATGATCGAACAAGATTTTGCTAACTTTTCACAATAAATAAAATATGATTAGCTCATGCGGTATCCATGATACCTAAAAATTTTTTCGAAAAAACTTCAAAAAACTTTTAACTAATCGTTGGAAAGGATCAAACTTGGTATAAATAATCATGGCAACTGTCCTCAAAATTTGATAAAATAAAATTAAAGATACCTCCTTATCTTTATATTTTTATATAATGTTGTCAAAACTTTTGGTCAGACCTAAGTAGTAGTTCACAAAAAATTCAAAAGACAATTCTAAATATAAAATAAGTTTTAGTCCAGTTATTCACTTAATATAAATTGATAGTAGAAGTTGCGTATGACAGATGATAAAGAAAGAAACAAACAAATGGTAGACAATCTTGTACATAATAGGATGAAAGTAATGATCCAATCAATATGTACTTTGTACTACATACCTATACTAAGGATATCCCGTGATAAGTTTTGACGATCTTTCATCACACCCGAAAACAAATGTTTACCCGCCCGGACCCGTGTATTTCATACCCGCTCCGCCCGAGACCCGTGTCATTTGAAAAAATGATTCCCCGCCCCGCCCGCCCGTGTGCCGGAAAATACCCGTGCCCCGTTAATCCCGCGTTTAATTAAATTTTTCTTCCCCGCCCGCCCGACGCCACGTGGCCCCGCTGGGCCCGCGGGGTAAACCCCGTGGACCGCACATCTCTGGTCCAAATTAAATATGCTGTTGAAATGGAATGTTTGAACACTGGTGGTGGACTATTGAACGCTATCTCTCTTCTGAATGAGAAAACGACATACTTTTATGTATTAAGCGCTGATATTTGGTATGATGCTGATCTCTCCATACTAGATACATCCAAAGTCGATTTATGTCACTTGTTTCTGCGTGATAACGATGCGACAAATCATGGAAGATACGATTTGGAAAAAAATTCACTTATTTTTGGCAACAAATATTACTTCTGTGGTATTGGTGTATTTCATAAAGTTTTCTTTGAAACATACAGGCCATCTAAATTAAAGTTTCCATTACGAGATATAATTTCCTGGGGTATCAATAAACGAATTATTTCAGGTGAATTGTTCAACAGAACCTGCATAAACGTCAACACGAACGATGATCTTCAAGCAGCGGAAATGTCATTTATTAGTACCGATTGGGCTACGCGATACTGTGAGTACTGGGCTGAGTAACTATTGATCCAGAAATTGCATTAATTCGATGGGTATTGTCTGGCTTCTAGACTGACCCAGTGGTAAATATTACCTCAAATAAGGGTGTGGGATGTGGGTATGGGTGTAAGTGTGAATAGGTGTGGAGAGTGGATTTGGGTGTGGATGTGGACTTGAGAGTAAGTGATTAAAGAAAAGAGATGCATCCTCACCCACACTCTCTGAAACCACTTTCAAATACAAAATTGATGTACTCGAATAATTCCGAACATGTAGCACAGAATTACAAGACCTATTAACTGTTCTTGAGTCTTTTTTCTTGTGTTTCTCATGTCTACATATCTCATTTTCCTCTTATTTTTATTCAATTGCTTTTGTTCTCTTTCTTCTGTTGCCTAGCTGTCTCGTTTGAATCTTATTTTTAATCATTTGCTATTGTTTTTCTTTTTCTGTCCGTTGCTTCTGTTTATTTCAATTAGTCTTCTCACCTCTGTTTTCTTTTTTTTCGGTTAAATCATTTTAAATCAATTAGTCAGTTTCAATAAAAATAATCAGATGAATTAGAAAAATCTGTCTTCACAGCTGTATAAATCGATTTTAAATCACAATTGAAATCGATTTAGATCGTATTTTGATTAAGTTTTTCGATGGAGCATAAGAGTTGATGAGCTGGTAGATTCATTGAAAAAATCAATCGTTTGTTCGACATTGGAGTCGTCATTTCCTTCTCGACTAGTCACGATTGACAAAGTCCTATGCAAAAACTGTTATCAAAATAAATCCTATGATTTGAATTATAGAAAAAAAAACAGTTCGATAATAAATCCAAGGATACGTCTGTATTAAATTTTGATTGTCACGATTATGTATTGATCAGAAAAAAACTTGTTCAATTGATATTTTTCTTATGCCCGCACAACTATCGTTCTTGTATACAATATGAAGAAAACAATTCCAGTCAAGTTACGTTATTGTACCACCATACTCTGCTGGAACTATAAAATTCTAGATAATATGACCTAGATGATGCTAAGGAATCATGATAATATTATTCTATCTTTCATATAAATTTTCAATGATATGAATCAATAACAATTGATGCGACAGTGATGAGAGGATAAGGTAGGCATTAACAGTTGTTGTAGTTTTTATTTTCGTTTCAGAATAGTTCTATTGATTAGACACAAAAATGAATACTCAGACATTCCATTTTAACTTGTTTATTGATGGTCAATATTTTTGAAAACTCATAAAAGAGGCAAACCATGTTGCCATAGTTTCACCATCGCACCAAATACCTCACCATTCTATAGTACCATGTTGATTCAATAATCTGCCTAAGTTTTGCAAAGTTTGCTGATACCGTATGAAAGAATAATCAATTTTGAAATGATTTTAGAACTTGTGAGATTTCAATAATACCATTTGATGTGTGCATATTCGATACCTATATAAAAATTTCAAATATTCATCAAAGAACTATATTCCAATAAAATAGCTAAGCTAATATTAATAATCGAATAAGATTTTCGAGTTCAACTACGTATGATTGGGTCGAGTGTAAGTTCGAAAACTTAAATTCATGTAGAACTCTAGATAGGTGTTGTTAGCTTTGTTAAAGTAATTTATTCATTGTTAGCAAATGTTTATTTTTGTTTCAACAAAAATAATATATTAAGTCAAAAATTAAAACAATTTTTTCAATTTGAAACAAACTATCATTATCAAGCCAATCAGTCCCATAATTCCAAGTTGTCCAAAATATCCATAATGCATAGGAATCTGTGGCATATGTTCAAAGTTCATCGAACTAAGACTTGATAAAAAATTCAAAGGCATAAAGATACATGACATCAATGTCAATGTTTGTATCGTATTATTAATTACATCTCCATTAAGAATCATGTAAAAATCAATCAATGATGTAATATTATCTGCATGGGAATCAATAGTATCATTCAGTTCAACAGCATGATCAAGAAGACGCTTAAAATATTTATAAATATAATCATTGAGTACTAATACACCATCATCTAACAAGTATTCATCATCCTCATCGCCGATTGAAGTTCTTGGAGGAGAAGTATGTGAAGCATGGTGACCAACAGCTTGTCGTAATCGTCGTTTTAATCGACGACGACATTGACGTAATGCTGGTCGTTGTCGTTTTGGTACTTCTGTCTCTCGAGTTTTTTGTAGTTTAATAAATATATCTTTTAATGGGGCACATACAATTTTGAAATGAAGTAAATCATGTTTTATGTGAAATAGTAATCTTAATGTTTCAACACAAAGTGTATCTGTTTTTATCTTTGTTGAGAACATCAATTCTTTATCAATACGTTCAGTTTCATGTAAAATTGAATCTAATACAATCATATAATTTTCCATGACAACATTAAGTAAGCAATAAAATAAATAATCTATTTTCATAGTTTTAAGCCGACCTTTTGATTTTATTGATTTTTTTCTTAAACGATATTTAATTGTTGAAAATAATGCATGTGCACGATATTCTTGTATAGTAATAAGCGTATTTTCTGTTAGATAAAAACTAATTTTTTGTTGGTCAACAACATGATTTGTTTCATTTAAATAGATAACACTAAGTAAAAGATAAATATTTTCATTTATAATAGACATTTTCATTCGTTGTTCAAGCGTTCGAATATCATCAATAACAAATATATGTGCATCGAAATACTCAAGTACAGCACGAATAAGATCTGCATTAGTACCATTTATTTCAACCCACACATTTTTTCCTTCAGACAACTGTTTAAGATTATGTGGAAATTCGTCAACATGATGATGTCTAAATTCCATATATGTCGATGCATCGTACCTTAAATAAATAATATTTCAGTTAGAAAATAAAAGTTATCAAAGATGTTCAAGATAACGACATTCGCTTACGGCCATACCACGTTGAATACACCAGTTCTCGTCCGATCACTGAAGTTAAGCAACGTCGGGCTCGGTTAGTACTTGGATGGGTGACCGCCTGGGAATACCGAGTGTCGTAAGCTTTTTAACGTCTACTTTTTTTTGTTCTTTAAGAACGGATCTCGATTATATTATTATTAAAATATCCCCTAAAAATTTATTTGTAATTTTTATAGCATTGACGTTTTATATTTTTCGAAGGTTAATTTGAGATATATATGTTTTTATTGCTTTACAAAGGTTGATAAGAGAAACAAAAGACACGTATATATAAAAATTTTTTATTATATCTAAGCTGATTTTCCTCGTCTTTCATTTGATTATTCATTCTTATATAAGATAAAACATAAAATATATTCCTTACAGATAAATATGAATTGCATATAATGATCCATTAAAATATGGTGTAAGTTGAAAAGAGATAGTATCCGATTCGTATGGCATAATTCAAATAATGATCTTTTCATTGTTTAAATAAAAAATCTTTCATATATATGGCTGACATTTCTTCTACCTTTTGATATAATAGAATAGATCAAATATCTCTTTTGTTCCAGTTGGTTGATGGTCTATTTTATTATTATTATTTTTTTTTTCATCACTAAAATAAGATTAGAAGGAGAAGAAGAACATCAATAACAGTAGCAATAGCAAATGTTCTCCCTACTAGAACAAAACAGAAGAGCACCAATCTATATGATTAGAAGAACACAAAACAAAAGAGAAGAAAATAATGCCAAGTACATGAACGATCGTCATATAGTTGCACTTTGACAAGAAGATGATATTGGATATATACACGCACACACAAACAAATATTTGTAGGTTAGAAGTACTAAGTAAACTAAAACATGGTTATATCAAACAGTTACAAGAACATGTTATCAAAAGAAAAGACAAGAAATATCTCTTAATGGACGAAAAAAAAGTCATGTGTTCTGTTTATCTCCATTTTTGATACGAATCCGGCTCGAAAAAAAAAAGAGAAAGAAACACTGTTTGTTCGACATGAATGACTGCTTATAAAGGTCGCACGTATGTAGCAGGAAAAAGACCAACATTACCACGAACTTCACCTAAATACCAAAATAAAAATTTATACATAAAAATAAATGAAAACATTTAAATATAACCTTTCCACCAATTAACATCACTTTGGTCTAACATACGAATACGATCACCACGTTTTAATTCAATTTCACCTTCCTCCTGTGGTTGAAAATCATAAGCAGCTATAAAAGTTTGATTATTTGCTGATGAGGCAAGAGGTGAAATTGGTTGCTGTTGTCCTTGAGTTTTCTGTCCTTGCCATTGATTATTATGTTGTTGATTTTTAGTATTCTATAAAATGAAATCAAATTTCATTTTTTATTTATATTATTTTATTTTGTTACATGTGATGATATGTGTTCTGATTGTGTTGATGATATCATATCTTTAAGTAATATATTTTGTCCACGATTAACTGATGTTGTACGATGATAATCAATTAATTCATTAATTGAATCAAATTTAATAGCCCATAAAAAATATTTACCCATACCATCACGTAAAATTTTAAAATGTTGAATTTGATCTTGATATCTATATAATCATTAAAAAAAATATATATATATATATATTTTTTTTTTTGCAGAAGGAATATTAAAATTATATACTTGACAGATAGTGAAAAGTCACCTGGAGATGATTCGCACATACGTACAAGAAAAATACCATCAGGTTGACCAATTCGACGAGCATTACCGTCATTTTGAAGAAGAATTTTTTCAGCTTCAGCACGAGAAATTTTACCATAAAACCAACTAAAAATATCAAAAAAAGAAAAGAAAACATAAAACTCAGCTCTAATCAAATTCATAGCTTATGAAGTTGATTTTTTTTATTGATAGAATGAACTATTATAATTATTAAATCATGATTATTTTTTAAAGTTATTGAAAATATTAAAGAATAACATACAATACAAGTAGATATGAACTTTTTATAAAAATATTATTTTGTTGATTTTTTAATCAACTAAATTCGAGATTTCTTAATATTTTACATATAACGATTTACTTACGGACTAGGAACCATATCAATATAATTTTTTGGTATATATCCTTCTTGTCCTTTAAATTCTGCTTTAAACCAATTCAAGTCTTCATCAGTATTAAGTATCTATTTAATCAGAAATAAAATTAAAAAAAAAAAAAGAAAAACTTCAATAATAATATTATACTTTAAGTATAGTTCCTTTTTGAAAACTAAGTTCATCATCGGCCGTTGCATTAAAATCATAACGACCATAAGCTTGCATATTGATTTTTTTGAATGACAAATTCAACAGAACATACAAAAATAAAATAAATATCTTGAAAAGGAAAAAAGGGAAGAAAAAATAAAATGAAATGAAATGAGAAAAAATATATTTTTATTTTTTTATTTTTTAAATTATTCTTGTTTATCAAAATATTCCTTCGATTTAACTGGATCAGGTTTAATTGTATTTGGATTTGTTTTATCATCCCAATCTGCAGGACATACTTCACCATATTGTTCAACATATTGAAATGCTTTTATAAGACGAAGAGTTTCATCAACTGATCGACCAACAGGTAAATCATTTATTGTTATTTGTCTTAATATTTGTTGTTTATCAATTATAAATAAACCACGTAATGCAATACCACCGTTATCATCAATTAAAATGCCATAACGTTTTGTTATTTCTTTTGAAAAATCACTTAATAATGGATATCTAAGACCGCCAAGACCTCCTTGTTTTCTTGGCGTATTTATCCAAGCTAAAAATTAAAAAAAAAACTACATTAAATAAATTTTAATTTTTTTGTTTTTGTTGAATTTACCAAGATGACTATGTACTGAATCAGTACTACAACCAATAACTTGTGTATTAAGATTATGAAATTCATCAATACGTTCATTAAAAGCAACAATTTCAGTTGGACAAACAAATGTAAAATCTAATGGATAGAAAAATAATATAACATATTTGCCTCTATAATCCGATAATTGAATATCTTTAAAATGTCCTTTAATAACTGCTGGACCTTGGAAATTAGGTGCTGGTTTTGATATTGCCGGAAATGGATGATGACATGTTGTCATACGTGCTATATGTTCAAATGGACTAGTTATTGTTTTTATTGCAAATGAATTTAGATGACGAAGTGTATGACGATACATACTAATATGTTTTGTTTTTTTTTGTCTTACCTCAATCTAGAAATAAGAAAAAAAAAACACGATTGTTTAAAATAAAAATTGAACTTTAATTGAATATTAAACGGTTGAATGAATTGATTCATCTTATGTAAAATGAAATTCATTGAAGGGAAAAAAGCCATACAAAGATTCATTCGTTTTTGACACATACGATGAATGAGTATGGTGGTCTTGTTTTTTCTAATACGAGCATTTATTTTAGATAGAGGTCATCTCAAAAATTTTAATTGGACAAAGCAATTTCGTATTGTTTATTTGTATTTCTACATTGAATCTTTTTGTCTTTTTTTTTTTCGAAGAAAAAAGTTGATTACAACAAAAAAAGAAAAAAAAAATGAAATATTTGATATTTTATTGTTCATTTGTTATACTTACTTTTTATGTTTTATCAGGTTGATAATAGAAAATTTTAATAAATTGATTGTTTATTATAATTGTTTAGTTGCATCAATAAAATGCTATGTTTGTAAAGAGCCTGATAGAAAATGTCGTGATCCATTTCGAAATGATACTATTTTTTTGAAAGATTGTTCACAAATTGGTATGGGTAATGCTACAATGTGTCGGAAATATATGTGGGAAAGTAAGAAACAAAAAATAAATCAATAAGAAAATATTATTTTAATTTGATATATTGAATGTTTTTTGTTTTAAAGTTGGTGATGGTACACGATATTATATGCGTGGATGTGCTGTACGTGGTCGTGTAAGTCGAAAACAAGGTCGTGATTGTATTGAACGTCTTGGTATGTATTTAAATAGTAAATGTCAGAATATTGCATTGATTTTGATGATATCATGATCCGTTATGACAAAGAAAAATACTTATTAGAATATTTCACGAGGCACATGGAGGAGGAGAAAGAGACGAACGAAAATTTTGATAATAATTGAAAAATGTTTAAAATGATTTTCATAACGAAAAATATTCTTAGCACTAGAGAGAATTGATATGAAATGTCAACATATACTAATGCTTATCAAAATCATTCAACACCGTTTATTTTCAATTGTTTTTAGCTGAGTTTCTTACTAGAAAGGGTCCAAATAGGGGTTCTAGTAGAGAAAATTTTTTCCAACATGATATAGTTATAGAGTAAAAAATCTTCTACAAAATGAGGTGCCTCTATGACATTTTTTAGATGATATATGTTGCTCTATGATTATAACAATTCTAACGTGAGTTATATTTACGCGTTTTAGATACTGAGAAATTACGATTTTGATTTTCTGAAGATTCTATCTTTGAAAATAATTTTTTTATTTCGTCATAATCTGGTCGGAAACGACTTTCTTTATTCAAATCACTATTTGAATTCTTTCTAGCGCGAAGGTGAGTGGAAAAAAATTGAAAATAAACTTTGTTGAATACTTTTAACATTCTATTGTTGATATTTACTTTTTTGTTTTTTTATTTAGGTACATGGAAAACAAAAATGTGGTATTGTCAATGTGATAATAAAGATGGATGTAATGGAAGTACAAATAAACGGTTATCATTTCTAACAATTCTATTTGGTATTATAATTTTCTATTGGCAATCGACGCAAAATATTCAATAGCATGACTTTTTTTTTGTTTTTCGAAATATTGTATTTATGTATAAAGTAGTCAATTTTGCCACTATTAAACATTCCATTCAATTATTTTGAATGCCTTTCTTTTATACTATTAATTTTATATAGTTAATACTTAGTTACATCTCACGGCTGTTCTTTTTTTTTTTTTGTATTCATATGCTAAAAATGTTTTAGTAGAATGATATAGAGCTTTTTTTCTTCTTTTTGTACATTCCTAATATGTTTGTTTATTAATTTGACTTATCTGTGCAAATATGCGTGCTATCATTGTTTTTTTTTATTAATGATAGGAGCTCAACTTTATAATCAAATAATTTTATTCTAAAATCAGTAAATATCATTCATTGTTGAATAAATGATCTGATCTTAAATTTAGTGTTTTTTTTAATCGATTCATAATCTTGGCTAATAATTACAGTTTAAAGAAACAAGAGAATTTTTACTATTATATATTTCTATTGGACACAAAAATAAAAAAGTCAAAATTTTGCATTGTTCTTGTATTTCTCTAATACTTTGAAATTAACAGAATAGTCCGAAATGTAATAAAGTAAAATATCTAATTTGTCTGATTATTATCAGAAGAATAATTAAGGGACTACCGAGATTTATTTAAACCACAAGATTTATATATTGATAATATATACTATAGTTTAACTGCACCAAAAGAGAACCATAATTCTGAAGAGACTTCCTTTACCATTAGCTAGGTATCTGCCTTCAGCCTAGTTTGCTTCGTTTGATGATAATATGTAGAACGAGATTTATAGACAAATTGCAATAATTTCCGAAAAAAAATAAATCCCGAAAGTTACTGGAGTAATTTGGTCGATAGTCCTAATTTTCTTTATTGAAATTCTTTGAAAATAATCTTGTTTCTTTTTATTAATTAACATTTAGTTTAATAATTTAAGTAAAATCAAATAATTTCAAAAATATCATTTCTATACATTACATTACTGTCAAATTGCGACCTCTGTAACAAACATATTCCTTTGACCGGATTTATTTACTAATCAAAGAGACTCTAATCTTCCTTCATATAGATATCTTTTATAAGAATCATAGTGAATTGTTTTCTAATAGTGGCCACGTCATCATAAATAAATTTATCTTATCTTATTATTTTAGATGGAACCGTGGTATTCAGGTGCCGTTGTTGATGCTGTACGTGAAGCTAAATCACGTCGAGCTCTATTCATTGTTTATGTTCATGATGATTCAGAACAGTCTCAAACTATGGATAAATTCTGGTCGGATATATGGACAAAATTAGATAATCTATCAAAACTAATTGCACTTCGTCTTAATAAAGATACTGAAGCTTGTCAACAATTTCAAGCTATTTATAAAATTCAAACATTTCCAACAATTTATTTTATTAATGGTCAAAATGGACAAGTCTTAAAAATGATTGATCAACCACTTGAAAATTCTAATAAATTAGAAGAAATAATTCAAGATTTAATGAATGTAATCGAACCAAAACAAGAAACAACAACAGATCAATCAACAAAAACTGTTGAAGAAAAAGTAATTAAATTTAACAATAAAAATATTTATTTTTATTATAAATAGGTAGCAGAAGCTCGTGCACGTCTTAAAAAACTTCAAGATCAACGTGGTGAAGAAGCAAAAGAAAAAGACAAACAAGATGAATTAGAACGTCGTCGTCTTGGACAAAAAATGTTATTAGATAAACAAAAAAAAGATGAAGAATTAATACGTAAACAAGCTGAAGATGTACGTCGTGATAAACTAGAACAACAAAAATTACAAGAAAAACTTAAAGCACAAATACAACAAGATCGAGAAGAAAAACGTCAAAAATATGAAGACCAACACCAACAACAACAATCTTCGACTGTTCAACAATCGAAACCAAAAGTAACAACAACAGAAATTGAAACACCAAAAATTAATTATACACGTTCACGTTTACAATTTCGTTTAACTGATGGATCATTTTTTACTGAAGATTTTCCACTAGATGCTCATATGAATGATGTTTATGCATATTTACAAGAAACATTACCAACTGATCAATATAGAAATGGTTCATATATACTTCGAACAACACATACACGTATTACATTAACAAGAGATAATCCAAATACATTAAAAGAACTTGAACTTGTTCCATCAGCTGTTTTACTTGTTCTTAATCGTAGTAATGTTATATCACCATCATCTAATTTAAATACAAATAATTTTTTTCAATCAATTCAATTCATTTTTACATGGTTTATGATGCAATTTAATTTTATTTATCAATTTATTTTTGCAAAATTATTTGGAAATCATACCCCAACATCATCAACGCAACAAACAAGATCAGCAATGAATAGGAATAATTCTAATGAACAACAAACAACAGAGACAAAAACAAAAAAAGAAAATTTTAAAATAGATTCAACAGAAAAAACAACTATTCGTCGTTTTCATAATACACAAGATGATAGTGATGATGAAGAAAAACGTACATGGAATGGAAATTCAACACAACAAATGTGACTTTTTTATTTTCTTCTCTTTATATAATAAAGCTATCTAGAAATTTCATTGTTTTTTTTTAATTATATTTTACATTTAGTCTTTCATTGAGCTTTTTTTTCCTATTCAAGGTCAAATTTACAAGGCGAACCTTCGATAATACTAGTTTAGAAGAAGTTTCAAACGATTGATCATTAGGGATTCATACTTGATTCTCTTGAGACTTCCATGATTGTTAAAATTAAAAACAACATACATATATTCACGATATTTTTTGCTTCCAAATCTATACATAATGAAAAAATAGAATGAACATCACACAGCTCAGCAATCCAAGTCAAACTTGATTTGCTCAGTTGCTTATGTATGTATGTCATATTTTCATTTGTAGAGCATAGTAAAAGGAACTAAAAAAAGAAATACTCAAGGTTTGTCAATCACACTAGAACAATTATGATTATTAAAATTTAATTGGCTTCTTAAGTTTTATTTCAACTTCCATTATCAATAAAAGAACCCTTAATTGTTGATTCCCCCCCAGTAATTATTATCAGTTCTTCAAAATTAATGAACAGAACCCATATAGTTCTCTTCTTAATATATTGCAAGCAACTGAGTATATCATTTTATTTTTCACTTCTCTTTTAAACAAGAAGAAATTGATTATATTCATTCTCATATAAACACATTTATATATTATTTCAACAGTTTTAAATTATTTCACAGAAACTACAATTAATTGGTATACATCTACTATTAGTTTTTTTCTTAGTTCTTTTTTCAAAACTTTTTGATTCGAGAATTTTTTTTTGTTGTTGATCGATAAGATTTTGTAAACGAACTAATTCAATAAGTGATAAATTTTGATTTGTTCGTCGAAGACAATCTTCTTGAAGTAATTTTAAAATCTGTTGTAATTCACCATTTATTAAATATTTATTCAAATGAGTCAAACTTGAACCATCATAATCCGATAAAAGACGAGACATTTGTACAAGATTATGTCCAATTAACCAATGTTGAACTTCAGTCGGAGTCCATTCTAAAATATTATCCGAATGTGTAGGTAATATTGATTTTGATTGATGGATTGATAAATTAGAAGTAACAATACTTCTCTTATTTTTAGATTCTATATGTTGAAGATTATCATCTTGTAAAACAGGAGCTTTTAATTCTTTAATTAATATTTCCATAGCTTTTGAAAATTCATATTTAGTAAAATCTACGTAAATTAATTGACCAACTAGAAATAATAACCAACCATCGGGTTGATAATGTTCTTCTAAAAGTATTGGAACAATTTTAGTTCGACGTCGAAATGCATAATTTGCTTCTGCTCGACAATAATTACTTCGTCGATATTGTTCACTCATACAAATTAATATTATATTTGATTGTTCAATTGCTTGTACTATTGCATCTATAACATTACCATGTATTTGATCAAAATCAATCCATACATGATAACCAATTTTAATAAGTTCATCATATAATTGTTTACAGAATATTTTATCTTTATGTGAATAACTAATCATAATATCGAACATTGTTTCATCATGTTTTTCTATTAATTCATGATCTTCATACATAGATTTTAAATTCCACAATATTCCATATGTAGTTTTTTCCATTAGTTGATGATGTAGTTCTTATTTTAAATGAGTTAATCTAAGTATTAACTTTTGATTGGATCGAAGTTGTTGTTGAATATCACGATTGAATGAAAGTGCTCATAGAATATCATATATTATTGGATATCGATCACACATTTGAAATAAGAATGACACTTTGTTTGCATCATCAATTTTTTGTTGTATTGCATCATTTTTTGTTAAACTTAAAAAATCTAATAAATATTAAATAATAATTAAAAATTTGTTTTTTTGAAATAATTAAACTAAAATATAAATTTTCTATTTAACAAAAAAAAAAATAATTAATTTACCTCGAAATAATTGTGATATTAAATATTCATTGAGATTTTTGTGGGTGTGGATGATTCCAAGCTCGTTCAAACATATAAAAGAAAAATTTACAAAGATTATCAGTTATTTTGACTTGTTTTAAATGTTCATCAAATAAAATTTCTTCTAATAATCTATATGCGTATAAACTAATTCAATCATATACAGATGTTTTAGCTGATGGTAAAAGTACTTCTAATAAATTTGTTTCAAAACTTCTAAAAAAAAAATTGAATCATACGTATGTAATATAGTTAATAAAAAACTTAAAATAATATCAACGAGAATTATTTCATCATTAGATGGTTGATTTTGCATTTTTTGATAAAATGCTTTATAACTCATTATAAACATTAATGATTGTATATGTTCATGAGATATTTCTTCGGATGGTAAAAGTATTTCAATGTATTTAGCTTTATCATCATTGCAAAAACAATATGTATAGATCAAACTCATTATATATGTAATACAAGCAAGTAATTCTTTACTTCATGATTGAACATTTAAACTATGAAAATAAATTATATTTAAATAATCTTTTGCAAAATAATGAAGAATTTCATCACTAGTACAAGGAAATTTTTGATTTTTGCAACAACAATAAGAGAACTTACTAATAATGAACATGTTTTCATAGAGAACAATTGTTTATAAGTAAATATTGCTTGTGATATTTGTGATCTTTGTAATTGAGTTAAATAAAATTTATTTTGATCAGACATAATAAATTTACATGCAATAGAATAATTGATGACATTATAAATTGTGTATGTTCATGAATGAAATATGAAAGATTATCAAATCAAAGGCTAATTATAATAAAGTATGAATCATTTTCATCAGTACTTTTTTGGATTTGTTCGAAAATACTATTGATTAAGTCTGTTGTTTTGAGGAAAAAGAAGAGAAACTTTTTTATCAGAATTTATTACATCCAAAGTAAAAATTAAGTTTTTATTAAATGAAGCAAGATTATAAAATAATTTTAAATATTTTAATTGATTTATTCATTTATAGAAATTTTCACTAAGTATTTTTCATGTCCAATGTTCGAGTTTAACTAAAGAATCAAAATTTTAATAAAAATTGAACATCTAATTCTTAAAGAAGATTTGATATTTTAAAAAGAATATCATCGGATAATGTTGTTGCTGTTGCTAGTGTAGCAACAAGGTCTTTTATGTTGTCATCCATTTCTATTGACTAAAATATAGTATTGTAAATAACAAATACTTTTGCTGGATTATATTTGTACACAAGGTTATCCATCAGTAATAGATATGCTCTTTCTGTTTCTTTTGATTATGATAAAACTGTTTACATCGTAAATAGTGGTTAAATACTAGAAAGTATGTAGTACGCTTTTGTTTTGTCAATGGACATGAGTCATTGCTAATACATGTCCTATACAACAGCTCGTAAATGAATGAAAACGGCGAAAAGCGGTTTTCGTGAAAATAATCATTCACGATGTTAAACGATATCCGTTACGATCGTCATTTATTCGACGTTTTTACATTGAATTAAAGTAATATCTCAAAACCATTGTTAGACAATATTGAATGTTCTATAATGAATAAATCTTGATGATATTATTTGTCATTGTTTAGATAATTCATTCAGTACCTCTTCTTTGAGTTGCTTCTCTGACATAGAAATACAATTCACCTCTTTTTTTTTCTTTAACTTTGGTGTTTTTGTTAATTCTAAAGTTTTCATTGACTGTTTTGAATTTTTTCTAACGTTAATCAATAGAGTTTATTGCGACTTACTCGACAAAATTATAGGCATCTTTTTAAAAATGTCGTTGTATCATGCTACACAATAATCATCATAAACTTCATCATTGAGTTATCGAGAAAAAGTACTTATTTTTTACATATGCTTTGTTTATCACTTTTCGTCATAGGTAAGTATCACAGAGGAGAGGACTGATTCTTTTGTATTTCAAATAATCAACATGAAATTTATTCAAGTTCTGATCTTTATCTTAATGGTCTTATATGTAAATAACAGCTCATTAAGATCTGAATACATTGAAAAACGGTCGTCATTTTTTATTGTTTACTACAGGAATTAAGTCCTTTAGAAGTTATTTTCCGACGGTTAGAATGATTGTTCTGAACAATAGTTGTGATTACTTAGGGTAATTTTGTGTATTATTACTTCAAAAAAAGCACATAATGACAATCAACGACACAAATATTTATATAGAGTAATTTGAATAAGAATGATGCCCACGTCTATATTCAAATATATTAAAATATATAATACAGATTTCATGTGTTGCATGAAATTGTATAAGTATCCAAATAATGTTTTCATTTTTGATAACTATTGAAAACTTTTTATTTTATTATTAACTTCATACAATTGAAACTGACTTTCTAAAATGAATTTCTTCAAAGTTTGAGTAAACTTTTTACTCAATGACATATTACTGTATACTTGTAAATGGTATTCATCTGAATGATGAATAAATTCATCATGTTCGAAAAAGGATTCAAAATAATACAAATTATTGTATATAGAACCAGACAAGTTGAATTAAACAGATGTCTATAGATCAATTATGAGATACATATATCTCATACAGTAATTGATAAAAAGAAATCTAACAAGTTACTCAAAGTTATGTATTATGATTTAAACTGAAGGTTGTATGTTTGACGATGTAGACTAGTGCATATTTGCCAATGATCAATCGACCGATCGATTGCATAGATATATTCATCAAACAACGTACGTATGTACAACAGTTTCATTATAACTTTTCGCATCATAATCTTTTCTTCATTGTAGAACGTTACATTACTTATTATATCATACAATAGATTGCCAAAGAGCTACTTATATCTAACTGTTTCTTTTTTTCTTTTTAGTGGATGAGAGTGATAAAATCCCATTGACTTTACTTTTAGGCAATGATCTTTAGGAACGTTTTGTTATTCTTAACTTTTGCAATTTATCTAATCTTTCATCACAATCATGTCACTTAGTGACATAATCAGGATTTTAACAGTGGAAAGGCTTAAGACAACCGAGCTCTCCGGTAGGAGACGAACTTTGTTTGAGAGAAGGCCTTCTGGTAGAGTTTAGCTGACGTGGATTCCATCTGTGGCGCGAAGGAGGAGAGATAAACTTTTCCTATTCTTCATTGATTATGCCTCTACTATCATTTACCAATAATAACGTTTTTGACTAATTTTTTAAATGAACTAAAACCTCCACTTAATTAACATTGAATACATTGATCTATTTATAGTTTGATATTGTATGGAAGTTTGTGTTTATTTTAATTTGTATTTGTAACATCAAAGGAACTAGAGGTGGAACGACTAGGAAGCTAAGGGGAGCTGAGCTCCTCGGTAAACTCTTGAGCTCCACCAAGAATTTGAACTTCATTTATCATTTTATGTTTTCTCCGTAAGAGATTTTCGAAATATATGGTGTAAATTGACTTCATGAAGTATCTATTTAAAGTGATCGATTAATAAAATTTTGGTATTTTCTTTATTCAAATTTTCAGTGCGATGCCATTGCCAGTATTCCACATTATTCATCAACGAAGATAAAGGTTTAGTATCTCAGTTGCATCATCCATCTACGATAGACCAATAACAGAAGGTTTGAACCACGAAAAAAAACAGATTCAAATCTTAAGGAATACAGTATATTCATTTCAACAAATAATTATTTAGAAACAGTAGGAAAGAATATGGATAAAAAACCTCTAATAAATATAATGCTACTCTTGACAGTTTTGCCGTATCTAATAAGAAATCTTGTAAAGAAAATAGTAGAATAAACATGATGTTGAATCAGTTATGTTCGTCATCTACATTGTTACCTGCTTCTCCTATCACGTTCGCCGATCTGAACTCTTCACCTCTATCTGCTTATAATTCAGTTGATACATTTACAGTTCATTTTACAAAGTCGTTATCGAGTAGAGAAAATTCTCTATCAAAATTGTGTCCAGTTGATGCAAATCGAACAAGTCAACATCTACCTTCTCAGCCTTGTTGAGCAGTTTATCAAAAAAGATGCACATATAGGGCATTTCAGGTGCAATGGCTCACAAATCAACACTGCTTAGAATAGCCAGTAGAAAACGATTCAGCATTTTGTTACTATTATCGTCATTTTTCACATTTCATCGTATCAAGTCGTATTCAAAAAGATGTGTTCACAACGCATGGTTTTCATAATTGGAAACATGCTCTAGCACATGATAGAGCCTTTAACAAACACGTTAATAGTTAAGTACATAAAATGTCAAGCGCAAATTTTTCTGAATATCAATCACGTCAACAATCTGAAACGACTGTTCTTAATGTTCTTGGCAAGTCTAGAGCTAAACTAACGCGTCAAAATCGTAATAAATTGATAAAAATCAGTTCAGCGCTTTTGTTGATAGCGTCGTTCGTTAATAAAGTCGAAAAACTTAGAAAGGATAAAGTGAAAGTTCTGATACAGAGATTAATTATGCTATTGATTATTTGAAAAAATCATAACTTCAAGGTAAAACTATTCGAAACAAAGATTAATTTTTTCTTCTAAATCATTATTTCAATTGTTTTAAACTTCGCCTAAAACTCTGAAGTTAATCAGTAAAATGTGATAATTCTTAAAAAAAAATGGAAACTACAACTGAAATCATT